TTTGTGCATTTTGCTGGTGCTTTTGCACCTTCATGCCACAAACATCAGCCCTTCAACGTAACGGAGGCCTGAGGCACCAAAGTTTTAAAACCTGAATGCAAGAAACACGAGGCACTGCTGGCAGGCCAGATTTCATTGGCTTGGGTCTGCAGCACTAGCGAGGAGGCTCAAGTGGGGAATTCCACCTTGACTGTGTCCTCCACAAAGGTGACATGCACTTCCCCTGGTACCTTGATGCAATGCTGGGCATCCTTCTTCTCCAACAAAACTTGTTTGCAATTTGGTACTTGCGCTGGGAACATTATGTTGTGGCTGTGCAGGTCGCCGGTCTGCTGCATTGCCAACCACACCTGCTTGGAAAATTTCGTTTCTTTCTGGACGACCAGCCTGAGGTGAGTTTCCTGAAGACTTGTGGAGGCTTGTTGGAGCCATCCAACCGAACAAGGGAAAAGAATGAGCTTGAACTTGAGTCAACAGTGGGCGAATGGCTTGATTTTGGGGTTAATGGAGCGCCACTCTTGTGGCATGTGCTTGCCAGAAGAAAGTGATTGTACTGGACATATTACCTGCCCACCTTGTCTGGAAATTTGCCCACTGAAGCTGCCTTTCTAGAGAAGAGCTTGAGAGGTCAGAACCAATTTTCACTGGAGCACCCCCTTGGCTCCTGTTGCACTCCTGTTTTGAGTTCTTGCCCCCCCAACCCTTGCAAGTCACTAGTCTTGAATCGAACTGATGAAGGTTTGGCACAGGAGATTGTTCCGGGATGAGCAGGTCCCCTTGTCTACTTATCTTTCCACTCACAGACCCACTTGTGTGCAGCAGCTGGTTCCGCCACAGTGGCCCATCCAAACTGTGCCAGCATTCACACAGCCTTACCAAAACTGGCACCTTGATATGAGACATGTATTGCTTACATAATGGTCAACACAGTGGCTGAACATAATGATGCTGAATGCTCTGCTTGTTGTGTTTCCCCACTGCACTTTCCCTGACATATACTAGAGCCCAGTTTTGTCCCTATCTTCATATTTCCTTTGCTTCCATGAGAACCATTCGATCCTAGGGGATGGTATTCCAGCATTCAGACACAATGGAGGTTTGGCAGCAACGGATGGAGAGTATACTGAATATCTCATTTGCCAATGAACCAAGAAATCATCGCCCCCCCCCTGGGGTGTTGTTCTTTCAGCAAGAAACACTGCCATGCCTGGCAGCTGTCTTAAAGTCATCTTAGGATTCCACCTGTCAGGCGATGAGGCATTCTGGCATTCAACTGGCATGAAACAGTCTGGTGCCATGTCTTCACAGGCGCTGGATCTCTTGCAGCGCTGTATCCAAAGGGTGCGGGCGTTTGCACCACAGCAACGAAAGCAGTCAGGAACTGATGCTGAACAACGAGAGGTGGCAACCCCAGAGGCGGACTCATCCACGGACTCCAGTGGGGATTTGGGTGAGCAGACTGAGCGCTGTTGGCCTCGGAGCAGTTAAAAGCGATTTGAATCAGTTTCCTTTAAAATATATGCTGCATGTACGTGCTTTGCAGAGCTGCAGCTCACGGCATTGATGAATTGCTGCAGCGGTGGTTTTCAGGTGCCTGAATTAATGGATGTTTTGGACAAACTTTTGACGATTCAATGCTGACAAAGGAAATGGATCATGGAATGGCCCTACCCTTCCTCCCTAGTAAGATTTATGTGAGACTCCTTACCAATGAATTCCTTTGTGAGTACATCTGCTGTAGTTCGCCAGATGCAGTGATGGGTGGAATGTGTGTATTACATCCATGACAAAGCACTGCCCTGGCATCTATTGGGTGGTGTAGGACACCATTCTGACCAGCAGATGTTTTGTCTGCATTGTGAATGACACCACTGTGCACTGTCCGACAGCCTTGGCCAAAGCCAGGTGACTATATTTCCATAGAATGGGTGAATGCATCCAGACCACAAAGAGCCAAATCAACGCAAGATTCGCCTTTCATGGCACGCTGTCACAACTGGGTAAAGCCAAGCATTGGTCATAGTCCGAGTCAGCTTGCATACAACAGGTCTAGTGGCTTGTGGGCTGCATCCTGTCCAAACGGATCGTCTCAATCTACACTGCATGTGTAGGTGATGAAGTATAGGTCTAGGTGAAATATAGGTCTCTGAGTGCAAGGCAACCCTGGAGGGCGTTCATTCGCCAAGTGGCAGAGCAGCGCATTGCTCCAAGACAGCACAGTGTTTGATGCCTGTCCAGCACAACGGGGCAGCTTCAGGCCAGGCTTGGTGGTGTTTTATTGTCCGTGCTTTGTGCCTGCAGAGAAAGATCATGTGCTGCAACGGGAGATGGGATTTCTTCGAAGAATGAAGGGGAGGTGTGTTTTGTCCAGTCGCTTCTGTGTTTGCCCCGTGGAATTTGCAACGGTTGTGTCTGTCAATGCATTTGACACACATTTAGCACAGCCATTGTAACTAAAGGCGATGGTGGACGTTGCTCCCTTTATGGGCGTTTGTTCCCACAATGTTCAGGTTTCTATCCGTCACTGAACAGCCTAAATGACAGCAATGTCACTGCAAAGCCTGGTAGCAAATAACACAACCTGTTGTTGCATTGGCCTCTACCTCTTGGTGAAGATTTTCTGGACAGTATTCCATCCTCTGGATATAGTGCAGTCTTCTCCGAGTGAAGTGCGAATAGCAGCAGCGATGCATCACATATCGTGGATAGTAATTCTCAAACGACAGATAAGACTGTGCCATGCAAGGGCGCCTCCCCCTTCACTAGGAAAAAAAGACCCAATAACACTTTTTTGCGAACACACATATATGCATTTTATCAGCGTTCTGCATGCTAAAACACGGAAATAACACAAACCTGTAAGCTTTGTACACATTTGAACACGTGTTATTTGGCCCTTTGTTTCCTAGTGTTTGTGACAGAGCACTGAGAGTCCTTTCCATGCGTTGATGATGATGTGAAAGCCCTCATGAGCAGCTGGAATTGTGGATAGCAGCGTGCAGACAGCCCTCAAGGTCGAGGGTGCTTGTCCTTGTCTCTCTCTTTTGTCTGCCGTTGGAGTGAACAGGGTTCTGTTACCTGCCTGTGAGCACAGACATAAACGCTTGAGCCCTGCACGTGCATTCTGGGAGCAAATGGTGTTGATGTGTTCATAGTCCGCCATTTCTGAGTGGGCACAAGGGGTGGTGGGTTGAGGATGGGGCAATTTGTCCCATGCCAAATGCAGCCATATATGCGAACCCCCTATTGCGTGTTGGCATTGATGGTGATCTGTCTTGCTGCCAGTCAGCCCACCCTGTCGCTAATGCCGTGTTGTCTTTGCCCACGCAGCCTTCGCAGCTCCCAAACGTACAAGTCGTTCCTCAAGGTCCTCAACCTCTTCTCCTTGGAGGTCATCTCCCGCGAGCAGCTGGAGCCGTTGGTGGACAGCCTGCTGGGGCAGAACGAAAGCTTGGCGGTGCGTGACGCTGTTGCCGAGCTCGTCACATTATGTCATTTGGATTATGGCATGTCATGCTGGAGTAATTCTTATCTATTACGTCATTGTGTTGCCGCTGCACTTTTCTACATTTGTTTCTGCGCTGCGATTCTTGTGTCGCAGCGCTTCCACAGGTTTCTGTGCCGACTGCGATCCACTTTTCTTTTTTCCCTCCACGGATGTGTTGTCGCCCTTCTGTGCGCTGCATTGCCGTCACAATAGCACGGACTTTTTGGCACAGCGCCGAAAATGACCTCGTGGCTAAGAAGGTCTCCTGAGTCTGGACACCCTGGTGTTTATGGCTTGCTGCAGTCTGTGTCGTGCCCGACCTCGGTCGTGCCGCATGTTTTGTAGTGGAGACTTTGCACATTCCAATTTAATTGATCTGAAGGCTGGTAAAAGTTATGCAATTGTTATCGGTTTGATTTGCTGATGATGATGAGTCGCAGTGGCACCGACACCCCCTGTCTGCAACTTTTGTCATGTGCCGAACAAAGTTCTCAATTTCTATCCATATATTTGAACTTATTGATTAGCTTCTGGACGTCAGTAATGCACTGTTGTTTTCTCAGTGTGGATGTCTTGAATTTGCATTTAAGAGAATGTGGCCGCCCACTTTGCTCCAACTCCGCTCACTTGCTTGTTCTGCGATGCCTCCACCACATTTCTGGCAATTTGAACGAGCCCTCTTGTGGACTCGCTGATAGTCCAGGCAGCAAACTGCTTTGCGCGGGCGATACCTTTGTTGTGGCGGAGATTTGGCCGTTTGCTGTGCAAGGTGCACAAACTGTTACCCTGCCGGAGTTGCCTTCTGATTTCAAAACTTGATGCCGGCGCCGATTGGGTATTTCCGCTGTGGACTAGATTTGCTGCTCTTTGTACGCGCCAGTTTCGCGTTCAACAGGGCAGGCGTTTTGGACGCGCGAACGTGAATCTGACGTTCAATTTGGCGTTCTGTAGATAAGGTAACATTTGCTGCATTTCATATTGTCAAAATATGGCAATGCATTAAGGGGTTCTATTGCAAGAGAGCAGAAATACAGCGCACCTATTTGCCAGGGTTTCAATGCAACTATTCAGTGAAAAGTGGCGCAAGGCGTCGACGTCGAAACGCCAGCGCCGGCACTTGTTTGTGGCTATGCCGAATTTGTGGTCAGAACTTTGCACTGATTCTCGCCAGAACGCCACTTAGCAAAAATCCCTTAGACGCTTCGGCGTAGGGTTATAAAACTGAACTCAGCAACTCTCAAATTGGATTTGGGCGTTCTCGAGGATCACACTTTGCGCAGAAGCTCACGTCCAGCATCGACGTGGAGGTCGGGGGACTGTACTGTCTTCACAACCGTGCCACAACCGTGCGATCAACCGTCAATGTGGTTACACCGCAAATGGAACAAAGGAAGTTGCCAACAGGAAATACGTTCGAAGAAGAAGTTTGGATGGGCCCCTGGCCCAGCAGCGCTGGCCGCGCAATGGCGAAGCTGCTCCTAAACTGTGTGACACATCTTGGTTGTTATGCTAGGACCAGTTCCGGGACTTCCTGCGGCGCTGTGACAGGCTGGGTGCGGACCTCGAGGGCTCCGACAAGGACCAACCTTTTTTGAAGCTCAAGGTGGGCTGTACCCCATGCGCGTACTCTTCTAATCTGCTTGCCATTGTCTGCTTTTCTCCCTTTTCTACTTCTCCCCTTTTCAAATTTAGCCATGGCCTCCTTTAGGCAAGCTTCTTGTTTCCTGGTTTCTATCCCTCCCCTGGTGAGAGGTAAGTGGACCTACGACTTCGAAGTCCATCTCTAAATGGGACCAGCATTGTGTGTATGTGTGTGTGCGTCTATCAGCAAGCCCTGGGGAAGAAGAAGGACTACGACAAGCGGCCCGTCGCTGAGCTCGATACGTCCAACATGGAGGTGCGTTCCCTGCTATCGCATCGCCAGTTTCACAGAATTCGATTGCGGCTCAAACGAGGAGGCGACCTAATTCGATTCCTCGTCCTGCATCTCCTCCGGCGAACGTGCACTCAGCATAGCCGGAATGGTGAAGGGCTTGCTTTAGGGAGGCAACAAGAACATGGTGCATTTGTCGCGTTGCATCTGTCACGATGCATTTCTCCGTCGTTGTGGTGTCGTGGCTACATGAACCCATCACTCATTTGGGTGACCATTGAGTTTGCGACGATTCAACGGATGTATTCACTACGAAATTGTCGCATGATGGCCCCACGCTCCAGTACTTTGCCCCAGCGTTTTGTCCCCAGCGCTTTGTGCCTAGCCGCCTTTTCTTGTGAGCGCAGCGGTGCACGCCCTCCTACCTCATCTTGCCCCACGACTATCCGAAGCTGGTGTGCACCGGCCGCACCAGGCTGGGCGACCGGGTGCTCAACGACTTCATGGTCAGCATACCCTCCGGCTCAGAAGACAGTGGATCCAAGGTTGGTCGCGGCATCCACAGGCGCCAGCGAAGCATTGGCAAATTTACACAAAGTACATCCCTTTATCTTGTACTGCAAGTACAATTGAGCACTTTATTTGATAATAAAAAAATCCTGTTGTAGAGTGCTGCGCTATACTGCGTTGTGCTACAGTGAGTGCAGTCGTACTTCTACATTTTGTTTTATTTGTGAAGCATCTGGTGTACATTTTGGAAGCTCCATCTTGCTCCTTTGCATAAGTTTGGTAGTGTGTGAGAAAGGCCCCTTTTGGCGAGGCTCTTCTGCGGCAGGCCAGTCTTGAAGGGCCGTCTTCTGTGACAATGCCTGATATTCCATTCTCTATTGTTATTGCGTTTCTATTTACGCCTCGCTTCGAATTAACGCTTCGATGCGTATGTGGATTCGGCTGGCACATGTCATCAATATGTTCCTTAATTCGAAATATTATATCATGTTTGGGTATCCAAGTGCCAACCGCGTCTTAACTGAAGAGGTTCGGCCCTTGTACCACGCCAAAAAGTCTTTGTAAGCCTCTTATAGATAACTTGATATAAATTCCAACCCACCCTATTGTAACCCACTTTGGAAACAAGTGGCATAGAACTCAGGAACCTGCAGTGTTTGCTTGTGCCATTTTCCTGCAAGGGTGTCGATATTGGAAGGCCAGGGAAACGCCAAAAAATTCTTCATGTCTTAGTGAACGCTCACCGATTCGTGCTTTTCCACCAGCAAATACGAAAGAACCAATTCGAGGAGAACCTCTTCAGGATCGAGGAGACGATGTGCGAGCTGGACGTGTCACTGCATCGGAATGGTTCGACTCTGAAGGTGAGAAGCACGCCTACTCCACCGCCAACGACAACAACCCACCCACCACCAACACCAACACCCGTTGGGTACCAGCCACCTGCAGTGACGGCCTGGTGGCAGTGCTACAAGGCAACCTTCCAGGGTTACACGATGGGGCAGAATGGGCAAATAGCCCAGCATCGCATTTCTTGTGAATGGCCCAAACATTGGACTTGCGCAGGACTTGCATTGGGACACGTGTACTTGCTGGAAGTGCGACATTGCACAGGACTCCAATTACTCCCTGTCCCAAGCTCGCTCTGAAGGCAAGAAAACTACAAGGAAAAAGAGTAAATACTGTCACCGTCATTGGGACGTCGGCGTTTCGCATTCCAATCACTTTGCTGGAAGTTCTGGACCAATGCATTGGGTAGTAGTGCGTCATCTGTATTGTGCACTGCTGCACATGTGGGGAGCAGAACAGACGTGGGTCCGGGTCACTGAAAAGGGAATGCAGGCGTGGCAGAACGTGTGGAGTTTTCGATTGAAAATGTGGACGTCTGCATTGCGTTTGGATTTCCAATGCTGAACGCAGAAATGGGTAGTGCGTCCAGGCTAACAGTTCTGGGAGCACAAACGCGCTCCGGGACCTAAATGCAGACGTGCGCGGCAAATTTCGGCTTTCAGAGCATGAACACAAGAGAACGCTTTAACTTACCTCGGCGTTTGGGTACTGGTAGAATGTAGACGTAAGAGCACTTCGCTGTTGCTCGTGTCCGACCAAAACCAGGATAGCTTCTCCAACGGCGTGTGTCTGAAAGCTGGCAAGTTTTTGATGCATCGGTGATGGCGCTATGACGTTGATGCAACGCAATGACGCCTGAATGTGCCGACGCGCACTGGCCTGCACTTCCAACGGTGCCACAAAGTGGCGCCCCAAAGCGGCGCACTTGCAATTGCAGCACGACGTCTATGTTGCCTGTTGCCTGATTCTAGCGTGTGGACGAGCTGAACCTCTTTGCACCCAACCTGCAGGTTCTAGAAGACCTCAAACTGCGTCTAGACGCATTGCCAGAAGAGCAGCGAGCGACGTTCGATGTCCCTGCCAACTTGCTCTCTCCGGTGCAAACAAGGGTCATCAGCAATCTGTATGGTGGGTGCAATCGCCATTAGATATTCAACCACAGCACGCAATTTCCGTCCACTGTTAGAGGCTTTTTCTAGAAAATGGATCGCGCCTAATGTTTTAAGACTTTTGTTGAAACAAAGGGTGTTTAGTGGCGTTGTGTTAGGTTTCTTGCAACACTGTGTGGGCAGCGCAGACTCAGTCTCAGGCGGACCAGATGGTATAACCCCACTCGTGCTGTGCACGCCATTTTCTGCTCCGTGTGCCTTTGACACTGGGCTAATACATGCCTGCTTTATTTGTTATACTTTGAACATAACAAATTGTGCACAAGTACAAGCAAATTATGGTAGATAGTTTTAGCTCTTAAACTATAGTGTATTCTTTTGTATTTTGTATTCACTCACACATTCTTGCTCTGCACAGCAACGCAACGCTAGTGCATTTGTGCATTGCCGCCTCGGGTGCTTTTCCGCGCAGGCGGGAGGGGCACAGAGATGCTCAGGCTGCTGAAAGACAGCACCGCCACCGCTGTGGACGTCATCATCAAGAGAGTGCAGCAGAAGCAGGACGAGTGGTGAGGCGGGCGTCACTATTGCAGCTGGCGCCGCAACCTATTGATGTTGGTTTCATCAATTACCGCTGGCCTTATTAATTATCGTAAGGTCCTGGTATCTGGGCCTTTCAGTCATCTTAATTAGTTTTGGGCAATTTCAGCACATTGTCTGCGGCAGATGTGTCATTTTCGCCAATGCAATGAAATTTCAGCCGTTGGCAATGGGCTGGGTTTTGGCCATTGCGTGCTGGTTACCGACTTTGGGCCTACATAGCGACATTATGTCCGATGCGTAATTTAGTGCGATTTCAGACAATAACATATGATGCATTTGAGTGCGATAGTATATACGAATGCAGGCTGGGCTCCTGTCGAACACAACCTCCGTCTGCGTCTGAAACAGGCACATCGAGGAAGCTCTGCATCGCCAGTGTGCCATTGCTTAGATAACGAGCGGCTGCTGTACAGCATCGTACTTTCATGCATGTATGCATCGTATCACCTTCTGCTCGATTGCAATATCTTACCTATAGTTAGTATAATATCGCATCATATCACACTGTATCATCGTTTCTGCTGTACTGGAAAGCCCTTGTTGCAACATTGTTCAACGCCAGTTGCCGCTGATGGCGGTGAAGCGTGCACACCAAATAGCACGTCGAAGCGGCGTTTGCCAAGTAGCTTTTCAGCGTCTGAAGACGATCGATTGCGATGTCGTTTTAAATTGGTGTGACCTGAAACGCGCAGGTGCACGCTGAAGGCAGAGGTCAGACAGCAGTGGCAGAAGACGTTCGACGAAAACTACACACGGTCTCTGGATCATCACAGCCTGATTTTCAAACAGGTGACAGAATCCCACCGCCAGAGCCTGTAGCCAGCGTTGACGGGCGCAGCAGTCTGAGGAATCGCTCGCGCGGGGCTGAACGCAGAAACGGCCTGCAAACCTGAAAATGGAGTCTGTTGGTTCATCAATTCAGTTGATCTATCAGTCAGTCGACTGTTTTAGGGATGCTTGTTTGATCAACTACTTCAAGTAATTGGCGCTTTGGTTTTCGGATTGAATAGTTTTCGAGAAGTCCACCTCGTTTTCTGGTATTGACCATACCTGGTGCGCGCCTTCCAGCTGCTTGTAAGGGCCAGAATGAAAAATAGCTTGAAATGGTGGAGATAAGAGGCATTGTGCACGAAAGAGAAAGCTGCCTCGGTGCTGTCATACAGGCAGACAAGAAGCAGCTGGCCTCCCGCGCTCTCGTCCAAGAGATTCAGGACGTCGCCGAGAAGGGGATGGGCAGCGATGTGGAGCTCAGGAGGTCCTTTGGGTCTCTCGCCCCCGATGATGAGCCATGTGCCAACCGACTGATGTACAGCTTTCCAGACGAGTGAGTGGCACAGATCCAAAACAACATACTGGCCAGTATATTGCTCCGTTTGAAAGGACGGGCAGCCAAAGTATGACGTGTGCCTTGGGTTACTGCCTTATTCGTGCTTTTTGTTCATTTGTTTATTTTGGATCTATTTTCCTACTCTTTGAATGCAAGGGCACCCACTTAGTGCGTTGGTCGGTGGAAAGCTCGACTGCCTGTGCTGCCTGCTAGCCCTGTGCAATCCAATCTGTCAAGCTGTTGAAAACCGTGCACTCATACTGGACCGGCAAAGCTATGTTCTCATGTTTATTCTATTCATACGCATGTCCTTTTTTTTGTTCAGCTTTGTGAGTTCGTATTGATTTAGCGTTTCAATGGGATCGAATCACCTTATCCCCGAGGAACTTAGGTGCCGCTTGTCACAATCAAATTGCAATCCGTCTTCGAAACCCTGCATTGCTCCCTCGAAGTGTGCTGCGCCAGTTGCCCTTTAGCTGCCGCCCAGGCACGGTGTGCACAAGTCGCGCATGAAGATCAAAACGCACATCGAGAGAGCAGACCTTGCGTCTTTGCAGGCTCCTGTCGTCCCCTTCTAGGCTCTGATATCCCTGCCTTTGCAAATCCTTTCAGAAAGAGAACCGTACGGCGAAGTGCTCCAAGTACCAATGCTCTCTGCCGCTTTCACCAAAAAGACTGTTTTACGAACGCTGTGAAATCCGAGATGTTGGGTGGTGTTGGCAGGTCGGTGTGGCCGGACGTCATCGAGCTGCTGGCGCACACGAACGCGGCCGTGCTGAGCGTGCGTGAGGGCGACAAAGTGCTGCGGCTGTGGCGGCGGGTGGTGCAGCCCTTCCTGGGGCTCCCGCAGCTGGTCGCCCCGGAGGCTGTAGCACATGAGGCGGCACCCCCGGCGCAGCCGACAGAAGGCAGCGCCCCACAGCCGGAGGTCTCGGGCGAGACTGACAATGGTGAGTGGATGAAGGCCTGGCAAAGCGTCTGTCGATTGCATAATTTGTCATCATTTGACACTTGCACATCACAAAGGTCTTCTGACAGTTTCTTTCTTGGTCTGCTAACTCTTGTGTGTGCACGTACACGCGTTCTCGTGCAGTACGTACCGCACGAGAACAAGGCATTGATGCAGCAGTGATAGCCGTTCCCGCAACGAGATTGTTGCTGCTCTGCTAAGCATCGCTGCACCAAGCCTGCCGCATCAGAACACTCCGTCGGAATCGATGCCGTTGCTGCTATTGGTGCTGCCCCGTCATGAAATGTATCGCTCACCAGGAACATCAGAGCCACGAGCGTTGTTGCAGACAAGATTCTGGTGCATGGGCATTCTTGCAACGCTTGCTGACGATGCATCAACAGATGCGTTGCATCAATGGCCACCACCGCTGCAACAACATCGTCCTTGTTTCTGTATGCAGCACGTGGGGTTGCCGGAGAAGACATATCGGTAGTGCACTGCGGTTTGCAACTAGAACGATACACTCAAAGTTAATCACGTGGCCTATTCCGATTTTCGCTATTGAACGCAGTTACACACGTTGCCCTTGCCACGTCGTCGTTGAAGCGCGCCGAAACAAAAATGTATCAAACACCTTGAGAATGCTGCCAGAGCTGCAGAAGGTTGTGTGCTTCAATGTACCACGCGGTAAGGTGGGGCTAGAGCGCCAATCTTAGCTGATTTTCTGGGAGGCATTTTAGTAACGCTATGCTCTGGTGGCCGTCGCTTGGCGATCGTATGCTTTGTCTACTGGCCTTTGTCCGTCGTTCGAATATCGCTGGATGGCTTCCCTTGAAATATGAGAGCATTGCCCTTCACCTGCTGCATTAGATTAGGCGTTGTTAACTACCCAATGAGTTAGTCCTACATGTGTTGGCCCTGCAAGATTGTGGCCCCAGAGAGGTGTTGAACTGGAATAGCGTTCCTTGCATTCCACATGAGGCGACATGAGGTCAACTCGTGCTTCGCATAGGTGGCTCACCAGTATGTTAAACAACACAATGCACGGGCATGTCTGGCCGCTCACTCATACCAGCGCTGTTTGATGCAAGGAGTGCATACTGTCGTGAAATTCAATGGTTGCTCTGTGTCGTTAACTGTCGGTGATCACGCCTGTCAAGGCAGTGCAAAACTGTGTTCATGCTGCAAACCAATAGGCTGTCGCTTTCAGGCGATGTCGCCTGTATTGTGCAGCAACCCACGGTAGCCTGGGGGGGGAAGGGGAGGCTCAGGCACAGCGAGTCCAGCCCTGGTAGCGCAGCCATCCTTTCAGGAAATAGCCGTACAAGCAATTACTGGAAAATACTGAACGCCTTGACACTTTTTCCCAAAACAGCATTGGCAGTGTTAACTCAGGAGACGGCTCGGTTGGTCAGACTGCGCAAAGTGGCAGCACTAAGCGGTGGCGTATTTTCAACTGGTCCAGATTTGTGCTAAGCCCGAACGTGAATGAATGTATGCGGACTGAGTGTATGGCAAATGCATAGTTGGCGTCCAGAATATATGCGTGACGATGGAGTGCATGATAGTAAATATGTACATATGCATGTGTAATGAATGTGTCCGCCAAAGAGAGGAAGAAAACTACGCGCTGGCCATCTGTGTCACGCTAAATCGATTTGCGTTTTTTTGACGCATCCATTGATATGTTACTTTCCATAAAGTACCTCCACTGAGTTCAAATTGTCTGGCAGCATCGCTCGTTCCAGAGATGTGCATGGACGTCACAATGCCTGGTAGAACAGCCAACCCAACCCCTACGTCACAGGAACATGCGTCGTTCAAATATTCCGCAAACTGTGTTTTCGTCCTCTACATGGGATCGGCACCGTCCTCGTCTACCAGAAGGATGGAGGCAAGGAAACAGTTTGTGTATACATTTATGCGTAAATGTGTGACGCCTTTTGACTTGACCTTGCGTGATTCCTGTGCTCTGCGCAGAGACGGACAGTGGATGCGCACGGGAGGGAGATGGGCAGCAAGACGCAGCGTAAGCACCAGTCCTAGCCTAGCCACACACCGGCAGCAGCAGCAGTATTAGTTTGGGAAGGCGACGAACGAAAACAGCGTCGATGAGGAAGGGTCATACATGTGCTCACTCGCGTGCCAAATACAAGTGCTGTTTCTTCCCGAGTTCTCTGTTTTGCTGTATTAATGATGATAGTCAGTTGTACTGAATGGAAATGTATTGAATGGAAATTAAATGTCGGCGCCTGCATTGGGTGCCTTCACCTTCATCGGCCTATCAGAGGGCGTGCGCTTGCTAATAGCATCGCATGGCGCGAAGGCTATGCCGGCGTTCAGTTAGTACTGATAGCATTTTGGTAACAAAAACGCTGGCGGTTTCAGTTGGCGCAGCAGGTTCACACTGCACGTGAATGAGACTTCGCAAGATATTGAGCAGAAAACTGACGTCGCAATGTATTGCGCACAATGTGGCTTACCTGCCCGAAATGGTGTGGCGTGCGGGGTGGCCTTTGAGCGGTTTTCTGTGTGCCGTTCGCAGTGCCTTTGGCGGTTGCCGGCCGTTGTCGCTGTCGTACAGGGAACCCCAGAGCGATGCTGGCACGGAAGCTGCGGAGGCAAAAGTGGAAAGGCCGAGGGATGCTGGCGCGGAAGCTGCGAAGGGCACTGAAAGCAGCCGCGTGCTGTACTGCACGGAGCCCCTGTACTTAGTTTTCAGGCTGGTGCAAGTGGCATATGAAAGGTAATCGTGGAGAATCACGTGTCTCTCGATCGAGATGCGCTCAACTGGAATTTCCAGTTGAGCACATGTCAGTCAACAAAGCAGTGCGATCACACCCTTGTTCAGATTCGAAGTTGAGCTGGGGACATTGGGGCATGAATGTGTACAACCCGGTACGTACCGCTTCTGAGCGTCACAAGTCAGTCGGTTTTTCGCCCGTCGTCTGAGACAGACCTGTTGATCAGCTCTGCGTTTGACAGTCACACCCGCAGGTCACGCGCCCGAAACTGACGGCATCTACTGGGAACACCCTCGTCGAAAATTGCATCATTGGTCGGGTGTGTTTTTCCTGGCGTACTTCCTTCCTGCGTCTGCACTACAGGGGAAAAATGGCACCAAAATCTGATAGTTGCGCGATCCGGCTTCCATTTAGTAGCGCCCACAGCAAAAGCACCGATCAGGACACCGAAAACCATTGATTGAATCGACGAGAGCGGCGGGATTTTCAGCGTTTGGCGGTTGTTACATGATCGGGTTCCACAGTAAAACTGAAATTGCGCAGTGAAACTGTGCATCCCCGCCACTGGTGCCAGTGCACACCTGCCCAGCACATTCACGCGTCGTGCACCTCCCGTAGGCTGCTGATGGCCAAGCAGCTGAGCGCAGACCACGGCAGGAGCCAGTTCCGGCAGACCGGCGAGCCGACGCCCGTGGTGGACAACGCGGCCGTGGAGAAGGCAGCGGCGGACGGCCACGCTGCGCGGCGGCGCTTTCTGTCCGCCACCAAGGCGCTGGTGTCCGGCAGCCTCCAGGCGGTTGAGTTCGAGGACCTGTGCCGCGCCGCGCTGGGCAACAACGCCTACTTCCTCTTCACGGTGGACCGGCTGATGGACCGGCTGGTGCGGCAGCTCAGGCTGGCGGCCACAGACCCGGGAACGCTGCAGGTGAGGCGCGACTTTGAAGGCAATGTCGAGGGGAACTTCAGGGAGCACAGTTTTGGTGCTGGTGAGGACCGGCGCCAGAAGTCCTGACACGCTGGCTGGAATGCCGGCGGCAGCTTTGGGATGAATTGTTTTGTTCGAATTTGCCTGCGAAAGCAGGGACGCTGTGCAGTACAGGCTGTGGTGGGCCACCTTGGACGCGATTGGGATTGCGTGATCCGGTCGTGTTGGGGTTTTGAACTGGCTGTCATGGGTGTGACGCGATTGGTGTTCAAATTCTCCATCTTTGTTGCTGCTGGCTGAAGTGCATGGATCTCCCAGCACGGTAAGCACGGTGCATCGTGCGTGTTGTGTGTACGAACTGCAGATCTTGTTTAGGCGGGTGCCATCATTGTGGTTTTGCCGATTAACTATTGTTTTTGATCAATTGTCACCAATGTTATTGATCAACTTTGCACGCCAGAACATGCATGTGAAATGTATTGTTGATTAAATGTGTCCGTTGTTATTGATTAACCCATCTCTTCAAATGCGTGCGTTGAACTTGTGTGTGAGGTCGTGGACCTGTACGAGTACCACGGGCGCCTGGTGACCGGTGGCGGGAGGCAGGATGCGGTGTACCTGGCAAACGCGCGTATGCTGACTCAGCACGAAGACCACATATTCAGGGTGCAGGCATGGGGAAGCTGCCGCCTATCTGTGCAGCTCATGGACTGGGCCGCGAAGCTGCTGCCCCTGCCATTGCACTACGAGGAGAAAGAGGGTGGCATCAGGTGCGCGCGCTTGGCGTCGGGCGCCACATGGGCGTAAATCCAGCAGGTGTTTTAAATATGAAGATTGATTAGGACATTACCAGGAGCGAACAGTGTGTGGCGGTGCAATAGTGTGGACATCTAACCTGGAGGGCTGCGCAGTGGTGAATTTGCCCCTTGCCCTTGGAGAGCAGTGTGGGCAACAGGGTGAGAGTCAAGCCGAGATTGTCTAAACTAAATGAACGGACTTACTGCATTTCCATGTGCGAAGCTGTTCCTGACCGGTTGTGCCGTTACACATTGCGTTCGTTACTTTGTCTGTTGTAATTTTCTATCGTTGATGGCAGTGATCCGTGTGACGTGCCGTGGCTGTCCATGTAGTGCGTACGTTGCATCCGAGCCGTCCCTGCCGGACACGCCGCCCGTGTTCCTGCGCAGCGCCCTTCGGCGCGGGAAGCTGCTGGACGGCCGCCGGGGGACGCTGGTGGTGGACAACAGCCTCGAGTCGTGGTTCAGCGAGGCGGAGGGAGGCAGGGTACGGGCCGAAAGTTGCCCGAAGGCAGTTTAGAAAGGCAGTTCG